CAGCTTGGGAAAGAGAAAGGAAAATAATGATTTATCAAATGAACTTTTCAAATCATTTGTATGACAATATGTATTTTGTTATAGTAGAATGTTTTTAGAGTAACTTCTTTAAAGATGATTTTTAATATATTTCTTTTTCTTTTTTTTATTAGTATCATCTATAGATTAATTCATTAATTTATTTATTGTTTAGTATCTTTAAAAGCTTTCATGTGGATGATGATAGTGTAGCGAACCACCCATGCGATGATTCGTGAACCCACTCTGACACCAGTGGTGGGGCTATCTAGTTCTGTTTTGGTTCCCACATTTAGTGTTTAGCATGTAAATCATAAATGATACAAAAAAAAAAATTATGATGTTAAAAAAGGTATATTATAGAAGAAAAAATTAAAACAATACAGTATTTTTTATTATTTCTTTTTATTACTTATTAAGGTAAAGTTTATATTTATATTTTTTTCACAAAATGGATAAATGTTTTTGTATTCTTCTACATTACATACTTCCATTTTTTATACATAATAGCTGGTCTTACATAGGATTACACCTTTGGCTATTTAGCTCTGTACAGCTTAGATGATAATTTATTTTTTCTATTTGTTTTCCTTTACTTGATTATGGCCTATTTACCTTTTTAAAACCATTTTATAAAAATGTGATGATACATTTCACAATGTATAGGGTCATAACCTTAGAGCTTGACACTAGATAGAAAAATAGCCTCTCGAGGTGGGCAAAATTGTTTTCTAATTATTCTAAATACATTCTTCATGGTACAGAAGACAAGGAGGTTGACAAGAAAATGCCTTACTCCTACATTTAGTATATGACACCCAGCCTGGGAAATCCTCTCACAGGTGGCTGTGATGTCAAACATGAGCCAGACAGCCAGGCTCCTGGCCAGCTGAGCGAGTGCAGTTCTGCCAAACCTTTTTTCTCATTGCAGACACTTGTCATTTATATGCAGACATTTTGCAAATTTGTTTGTTTTGACATCAGTTTTTTATTTTTTTCTTAATTATTATTATTATTATTTCCCCCCCCCCCCTTAACTTTCACTTTTACTTTCCTATGCAAGTTATAATTCTGTAAAATACAGCAATTTGAGTACATTCCCTACATTGCAGTGTAGTAGGCCAGCTAATGGCAATTTAGTCAAGGAAAACTTTATGCTTACCTTGTTATCTAATGTCTAAAATATCTAGACAGACAGAATATGGCAGCTATATAGTTAGTTATTAGGTAATAAGTCTTACCAGACCATTTTTATGTGTGCTGGACTTTGAAAACACTTCTTGTAAATTTGTTTTCATATGCACCAAGGATACAAAATCATGCAACATGATCTCGGGCTGTCTTGCAACTGCTCGTAAAAGTGAGAGACTTGGCAACAATTACTTGACAGTCCCTTGTCTTTATACACACCAAGACACTAACCATCAGAAGCCATGTGACTTTGTCGCAGAACTATTGTGTAGCTGTTTCATGAAACTCACTTGACAGGCACAGAACTGTTGAGTAATAGTACAGTGACAGGATTTCAATTTTATCTTGACTCCTCTCAATATAGGAGACAGTCACTTGATATTCCAGCAACAAAGTTGTACAGAAGTCTAAAAAACTTTTGCAACATTTTCTAGACAGTCTATAGACAGGGTTGACATGTTTCTAAATGTGTCTATGGATAGTCACTTAATAGTTTTGTTACTGAATCTCAGTTGTCTGGTCCCAGATGAAATATGTATTTGTAGGAGTGCCTCAGTGCTAGGTATCTTAGTGTGTAAAAGGCTGAACCTGTATGGGTTCCTGGATGATATTTTCCTATTGCTCTAAAGGTTAAGCACAAAACTATGTAAATATGCCATAAGAAACTTAATTACTTGTAGATTAACTAATAATGATAAATAACCAGTTAACTGTCCTTTAGATTCTTCTGAGTATATACAGTCAGTCAGTGGCTAATTGTTTGTTTGGTGATTGGTCTCAAATTAAAGTAAATTAGTACACACATACCCAGAATTTAAGAAAGGCTTTTGGGTGTTGTGGAATGATAACAAATACCCATTTTAAGGTCTTCCTAGCGAGAATGCTTAGTAGTTACCAGTTATGGAATAATACTAAATGGTGTTTATAAACAAAAGTTCAGGAAGGGAGAAAGAGAAGGTTAGGTAGCGTAATTGATTCTAATCCTCATGTTAAGATTATAGGAATGATCCTTCATAACTGTATATGTGATTGGGTAATTGTTATGATTCTTTAATTATTTGAAGGAAAGAAAGGAAATGAATGCAGGAGTCCTTATTAGATTGCCCCTGGCATGTACAGCATCCTCTTATAGGATGGAGCACCAGATATGTCGAATTGTAAGATATGATATTAATTCTTGACTGTGTTCCAAAAGAACCATAACCCATGTTTCACCACTAAATCATTCCTGATGGATTAGTCTCAGCTAAAACCTGTTGTTTGATAGAGATAACACATTTGATCATCTGATCATTTGCAAGCTTGATACTGTACAGCATGATTGTGAAGCCTGATAACAAGGGTGTGCCTTAGATTGAAACAGTAAGGGTACAGTAAGTAAGATCAACTTGGTGACAATGCATGCCATTCTCATGGATTTGTTGTGATGATACCAGGAGGGGTGCATTTTGTTTTATTTACTGTTGTCATTATGTGGATTGTTGTTCTTGGTTATATATGGTAGATTAGATAACCTTATCCTCTTTATTCTTATCCACTTATTGTCCTTCACCAACCTCATCTGTATCCATATGCTCATCCTCATCCACCCAGAACTTCTTATATTCGTTTTTCTGCCTTCTTCCTTCCTTTCTCCTTTCTGCTCCTACTTCCCTTTCTGTACCTACCTCCATTCTCTCCTTACTTTTCCCACTACCACTCCTCCTCCCTCTCCTCCTCTTCTCTTTCCTCTTCCTCTTCCTCTTCCTCCTCCTCTCCTCCCTCCTCCTCCTCCTCCTCCTCCTCCTCCTCCTCCTCCTCTTCTTCTTCTTCTTCTTCTTCTCCTTCTCCTCCTCCTCTCCTCCTCTTCTTCCTCTCCTCCTCTTTCCTTTTCCTCTTCTCCCTCCCTCTTTTCCTTTCCTCTTCCTCCCCCTCCTCCTCTTTCTCCCTCTCACCTCCTCTTTCTCCCTCTCACCTCCTCCTCTTTCTCCTCTCACCTCCTCCTCTTTCTCCCTCTCACCTCTCTCTTCCTCTCTCTCACCTCTGCCTCTTCACCCCCCCCCATCTCATCTTCCTCTTCCTCTCCCTCCCCCCCCCATTTCCTCTTCCTCTTCCTCTTCCCTCCTCCCTCCTCCTCCTCCTTCTTCCTCTTTCCTTCCTCTCCCTCCTCCTTTTCCTCCCTCCCATTTCCTCCTCCCTTCTCCCTCTTCTCTCTTCCCATTTCCCTCCTCTTTCCTCCATTTTCCATCCTTCTGCCGCTTCTTTCTTCTTCTCTTCCCTACTCCCTCCTCCCACCTCCCTCTTCCTACCTCCCACCTCCCACCTCCTACCTCCATACTTCTTTTATCTTCCTCCTTCCTTTGTCTTTCCTCCTCCCTCCCTTTCTCTTCCTTTTTCCTCCTCCTCCTCCTCCTCCTCCTCCTCCTCCTCCTCCTCCATATTTTATTCATTATCTTTCTCTTCTTTCCAGCAAATTTCAGTATTTTGTAGGAGGAATGTATGTGCAGTTTTGTTTCTAAAGCATTCATTTTTTCTGAAATTTCCTTTGTGTCTACTTTCATTTTCTTTTTTTTCTTCATTGTCTATGGATATCATGCTGTTTTTATAGGTTATTTACCATTATTCATTCAAACACCAGTATAATAATATTAATTGTCATTGTTAAGTCAATAACAATAGAAAAATAAAATATGTATTCTAGTAGAAAACTTAGGAAATAATAGCCATTATATTTTGGATATGGTTTACTTTGGTACACTTTTGTGCTCTGATATAATGTAAGATTCAATAGAAATAGTTAGAATCATCAGAAATGATGACAATATTAGTACTTTGTGTATTCTATCAGATTTTGTTTATCATGATAGGAGTTTGAGAGGCTGTAAGATATTTGGATTCCTTTGGAGTTCACAAGACCATAAATCTGGGGGAAATTAGATATGCATGGATATCAGTTTAGTCATAATCATAGCTTTTCCCCCCTTTTGAAGAAATGCTTAACAGGTATAACATTTTACAAGTCTGGACAGAGCTCCCATGTGTCTGAAGTGCATAGATATTGTACCTGTGAATTTATTAGAGTAGGTAAATGATTATCTTTGACAAAGGTTAAAAAGAAATATCTATTTTTATTCCTTTCTCTTTATTTTTCCTTTTTGTGTTTTGAATGATATTTGAATATGCTACTACAGATATTTATTACATTTCTTTCTATATTTCATGTGACTTACTTTTCATTATTCTTGTAACTCATATTTTTGCTGCTTGTATATTTAGAAAAAAAAAGCATGAGAAAGCTCTTGTGTATGTGATATGGCAAACCAACAGGACTATAATGTTTATGAATTCTCACTTTACTTGTGAATGTCTCATTGGGAAAATAGTAAAACTTTACTTGGGGACTTGCCATGTCACAATGTGCTGTAGGGAGACTGAGGGAACTTTACTTGCTCTCAAGTTTTATTGCAGGTGCCAACATTTCTGTAATTCAACTTGGCACAAAATCATAGTTCCAGATGTCTCTGTAACCTCAGACAGTTTCCTCCAGTGCCATCCTAAAAACCAAGATGGACTTTAAGTAAGATTTGTTGCACTGACTCTCTTTAAAAGTAGTATTGTATGTTGTCTCTTCCACTATAACTAACTGCTGGTCTCTCTGTGTGTGTTGCTTGGTGTTGTGCGTGCGTGGCTCCGCTGATGGTAACAACAACCACCACAACTACAACAACTTGCTGCTGTGTTCCTGCCTCAACCACCACAACTACCGTCACCCTCACCAACATCAAATTCTACCATATCACCAACATGCTCAGCAGCAGCAGCCGCAATCACAGCAGCAGCCCCCACAGCAGCAGCAGCAGCAGCAGCAGGAGCCGCAGCAGCAGCAGGAGCAGAAGGATGATGATAAGCAAAAACCGCCAGCCGGTGGTGGCAGTGATGGGCCTGTGGGCTCCGCTGCCACCACTAAGGATGGCGTTCCCCCTCCTACACAGATTAATAAAATAAAATTTGGCCCTGGGGCTCCTCTTATAAAGAAGGACAAGCGGCAGTCATCGTCACGCTTCAACATCCCCAAGAACAGAGAATTACAAAAGCTGCCATTACTCAGAGGTAAGATTTGGCTCTCTTAATTTTGGTTTAGATTCACATTGCAGATAAAGGAGGTTGGCTTTTGTTTTTTGGTCATCTTCATAAACTCTTGAGACTTTCAGTTCAATCTTAAATTGATTGACTTCATTAGAGAAGAATATGCAATATGTATATTTATACAATATTTTTGTTACCCAAGGAGACAATGAGAATTGAGTATTTTTTGGTAATAGAGACTAAAAAACTCAGAAATGCAGAAAGTGTAGAATTAGGAGAACCTGAAATTACTTATATTGCGAGGAAAAGTTTATGATATTCTGAACATAATGATGTTTCAGAATTTAGGATGAATAAATAAAATGTTGTATTTGTTAGGTGAAATTCATTGGTATTCAATGAGGTTAAATATACAGAACATTGTGAAAAGAAGATTTGAATGATTTACATGTGATTAGTTCTTATAAGAAAGATAAACAGCTCTATATTCTTTTGGAGCTGTTTTTAATTTGTTTATAAATCACCTTTTACATTTTTACTTTGGATTTGATGTGAATGTTTCATTTACACATAGATTAGTATTTAGTGCATTTTTCTTTGGAGTTAAAAAGTACAAGGATTTTCTGTAAATTTATTCTTCCAAGAATGTAAACTTTTTTTTTTCCCCCTTTCAAAACTGAATGAAACTTGCACTTCAGATGCCCAGCCAAATGAGAGGGAAGAGCTCTTCATCCAGAAGATCCGGCAATGTGGGGTGCTCTTTGATTTTGTATCGGACCCCCTCAGTGACCTGAAATGGAAGGAAGTAAAACGAGCAGCGCTAAATGAGATGGTGGAGTATGTCACGACTCAGCGGCAGGTCATAACTGAGGCGGTCTATCCAGAAGTAGTTCAAATGTTTGCTGGGAATCTTTTCCGAACCTTGCCCCCTTCTAGCAATCCGTCAGGTAAGGTTTGCAAGAAATTACAGGTGGAAGGAGAGGAGGTGAGCAATGGGGTGAAGCAGAATTGGGAATGACCTATTCACATTTTGAGGAAAGTTTTCAATTTAGAAATTTAGGTTTCTTGATATTGTGAAAATCCAATGTGGATGTTTATAATGTAAGAATTGCAGAATTGGAAGTGAGTGATAGTTTGTTTCTTGCTTGAAAAGTATCAGTATTCAGCAGAATGAATGGGTGATTGGTAGGGATTTTGTGTTTAATATCCTGTATCTTTGAAGTCCACAATGATATTAGCATGGCTGTGGATAACAGGTGGGTGAAGATGTTCCCGTTGATTTTTAGTAAGGACTGATGGTTTAAAAGCAGTGCTATTTAAATGTCAATTTAACCATGGATGTTTTGCAGCTCATAGACCTGTAGAACTTACAGGGATGATTTAAGTTAGGACTTTTCTTTATAAGCTAAATAGTGATATTTTTGGTGTAGCAATTCAGTCTAAATGTTTTGATTAATTGTTTCGAGAAATTGAAGTATAAATTGAGATCTAAAATGTTGAATAGAGATATGTATCTCTTTTTCACTGATTATATATGTCTTATTAGACAGGAGAGGGTAAAATTTTTAAGAGGGTAATGATGAGATAATAGAGTGGATTCTCATTGTCCAATGGCTAATTCAGAAATTGTGAAGTAAGGGTAGCTATGTTATTAAGATATTTTTTAAACCTCCTTCCACGTGCATTATTTAGTTAACATTTTGTATATATGTGTTCCTGGTATGTGAGTTTATTTTGTATGTTGCTTATGTTTGTTTACATAATAAACTAAGATGCAGTACAAAAGATATAAACAAGAAGAATTAAACTATAAAAAACATTTTGGTAGAATAGACCATATGTTTTGATTCTTATTATAATTTGTTTATTTGCCCTTTCTATACTAGATATATATTCTCAAATTGTTTAAAAGAAAGTCAGTTTATTACACTTGGAAATAGGAAATACACTTATTGATATTATTTATTAGTTATGTTATTTATGTTTCAGTTAATTTGTGCACCCTTTTCTTTTATGTTCAAAAAGTCTCCCATGACCTGACTTGGCTTTCCCGTAGGAGCAGAGTTCGACCCAGAAGAGGATGAACCTACTTTAGAAGCTGCGTGGCCTCACCTACAGCTGGTCTATGAGTTTTTCCTGAGGTTCCTCGAAAGCCCTGACTTCCAGCCCTCCATCGCCAAACGTTTCATTGACCAGAAATTTGTGCTGCAGGTATAAATGCTTTTCCTTGTTTTTTTTCTTTCTTTCTTCATTCTTACTCTCTTTCTTCTTCCTCCTATTCATCTCAATTTGCCTGTAGACAGGTGGCTCCTCAAGTGCATAGTCACCACTTTTGCTCTTTCTTTTCTCAGATTGTTTTCCATAGCTGTCAGTATATTGTGCAGATTTTGTCTTTATTTTCCTTGATTTTCTTATGGTCCTTTGTCTTTGTATTCTTTCATTGTTTTTAATTCCTTCCTTTGTTTTTTTTCTTCTTTCTCCTCTTTTCCTTACCATTTTCTCTATTTCATTTTTTTTTCTTTATTGTGTCTAAGAAAATCATGAAGAAAAATATAGATACTATTTTTACCTTTTTCCAGCTATTAGAGCTGTTTGATTCTGAAGATCCAAGAGAGAGAGATTTCTTGAAGACTACCCTACACAGAATATATGGCAAGTTCCTAGGTTTGAGAGCATTTATCCGCAAGCAAATCAACAATATATTTTACAAGTAAGTGATTTTTAAGATTTTTGTACTGAAATACTGTTTTGATAATGTCTACAATACTTGTGATAAATGTATTCAAGTTAGTTAACATTTAACCAGTGTAATCTGTGATTAAATGATTAATGTTTTTCAGGTTCATTTATGAGACAGAACATCATAATGGTGTGGCAGAGTTATTAGAAATTTTAGGAAGGTAAGTTTATTTGTTTGTTTGTTTGTTTCCTTTTCTATATGATATTGATCATGAAATTGAAGTACTTCTGTCTTGATGGCTTATTATTTTGTGTTCTGTTCTGATTAGTTTTGATAAATTGAATGCAATATCAATACTGGTTATTTGTTACTAAAAGGTTCCTGTTCCCTACTTTTGTTTCCTGCAGTATCATCAATGGGTTTGCACTACCACTTAAGGAGGAGCATAAAGTTTTCCTCTTGAAAGTACTATTGCCACTTCACAAGGTTAAGTCCTTGAGTGTGTACCATCCACAGTTGGCCTATTGTGTTGTCCAATTTCTGGAGAAAGACCCATCATTAACAGAGCCTGTTATCATCTCCCTGCTCAAGTTTTGGCCAAAAGTCCATAGTCCCAAGGAGGTATGTCATAATTTTGCAGAATATTTTTTATCCACTGTTCTGTCAATCCTGTAAATTCTTTTATATATATATATTTTTTTCTTTTACTCAATTTGTAATGGCAGAATAGACTAGAAGGAAAAAGTACTGTAAAGTTATTTATATGCAAGTTCCAGTTTATGTTTATAAGTAAGTCATTAGTTTGGAAATTCATTGATGAATAAAATAAGTGTTTTGCTATAGTAACCATTGTAAAGCATCATTACCCCCTATTCTAAGATTGGTAATTTCAGATGTATATTTGCCAGTTTGATTAAAGTTTAAAACAGTCTTATGTACATTTAAACTGATGAAGTATTTATGCACATTGAAACCTGAATATAACTAAAGTGTCTGTAATTGGGAGACAGTTTTATTTAAATGTTATTCAGTTATTTCTGAGTAGGAGTTTATAAAGATTCACAGTCAGTTTTCCAGCATTATTAGGAACTGGAAGGTGGCAGAAAACTGGAGATTTGATAAATTCATTAAGGGTGCTTGGTCATCATTGGTGATGTAAAATTCTTTATCTAAATATGGCCCATTTCACACAAAATTCATCTTGGAAAAAAGTGCTTTAAATGTATATAGAATTGGAAAACCATGGGCAAATGGTTAGGAAAGTGTTCATGGCACAATATGAGACTTTGTTTTTTGTTGGGAATTGGGCTGATTTGAATTGCTGATACGACAATACGCTGCTCCTGTGGCCAGTAAGGATTAGAGGGAAGAGTAAATCGGAAATGGAGGAGTGCTTATGAGTAACATCAGTAACGCTGATGCATATTGAGTGGGAAAAAGTTGAAGTGAGCATTGAATAGTTTGAACAGTTGTATCTCAGAAGAATTTTTTTCTGTTTAAGTCCCTTACCCTTGTAAAAAATTTATAGGCTTCCACCAGATCCTTAGTAATGAACAATGGCAATTTACTGATTTTCTTACCACATAGATATTGTTACTCCTAAATTTGTAATGTTATGTATCAGTGAAAAGCCCACCACCCCAAGTCCCTTACCACATCCCTTCTCATCCTCGCTGCTATTCAACCCGGCCTTGGGTTTTCCTGACCTCCCCACTGCATTCTTCACTTGTTTGGTGCTCTGGCTACAATTTATGATTCAGTTTAGTAATTTCCAGTTGGTACATTCATCTACTCCTATATATACAAATGCATTGACTGGATGAGATGTCAGTATATTGTAATGAAAATGCTCATAAGACAAATAGGAACACCTGGTTTGAAATTACTCAGAAACAACAGATAATGCCATTAAATAGTAATGGCAGGTCCATGCCATGATCCAGAAAATTTGAAATTGTTCTTGTAATTTTTCTGAATTTTGTATTAGTTTTTAGATCAGACTCTGAGAAAGAGTGTGATTATGCTCTTTTCTCATCTACCAACTGATACATTACACAGTGTAATTTTCTGTGAAGTATATGTCAACCATTTTTTGCAGGTGATGTTCTTAAATGAGTTAGAAGAAATTTTGGATGTGATTGAACCAAATGAATTTGTGAAGGTGATGGTTCCATTGTTTCGCCAACTGTCTAAATGTGTATCTTCACCACACTTTCAAGTAAGTCCTACGATTTGTCTGTTTTGGCAGTTTGTTAAGACAATTAGGTATGGAGAGAGAAAGCCAAAAGAACGATTGCAAATTTCCATATCTTCATTTTCTTTATCTACCCCTTTTCAGGTTGCAGAAAGAGCTCTCTACTATTGGAATAATGAATATATATTGTCATTAATCAGTGACAATGCGCAAACCATTCTCCCTATCATGTTTCCAGCACTTTATAAGAATTCCAAGTCACACTGGAACAAGTAAGTTCTAAAACCTATATATAGATAGTTAAACATTCATATGTTGTTTATTTATATTTTGACCTTGTTGATATTAGATGAAATTGATTACTGTTTTCAACAGTATCCGTACATACATAATGATTTATGCACGTACGAGAGAGAGAGTGTGCGAGTGCGAGTGCGAGTGCGAGTGCGAGTGCGAGTGCGAGTGCGAGTGCGAGTGCGAGTGCGAGTGCGAGTGCGAGTGCAAGTGCAAGTGCAAGTGCAAGTGCAGTGCAAGTGTGTGTGTGTGTGTGTGTGTGTGTGTGTGTGTGTGTGTGTGTGTGTGTGTGTGTGTGTGTGTGTGTGTGTGTGTGTGTGTGTGTGTGTGGTGTGTTGTGTTGTGTGTGTGTGTGTGTGTATATGTGTGTGTGTGTGTGTGTGTGTGTGTGTGTGTGTGTGTGTGTGTGTGTGTGTGTGTGTGTGTGTGTGTGTGTGTGTGTGTGTGTGTGTGTGTGTGTGTGTCTGTCTGTGTGTGTGCGTGTTTTAACTGATGAAAACTGCAAATTAGATTAAGTAGACTTGGACTGCTACTTGTGTCTTTAATGTAGAGGAACTTGACTTTATGCATTTATTCCAGGACTATACATGGATTAATATACAACGCTCTTAAACTGTTTATGGAAATGAATCAGAAGCTGTTTGATGAGTGCACACAACAATACAAAGCAGAACGACAGAAGTAAGTTACAAGAGCATTATTATTAACTATTCCACAAAAAATGGAAAAGACCTAGTTAACCTTTCAGTGACAGGTATGCTGTACACCGCTTAGGCCTAACCACAAAGTCTAAACTGTTGTGTAATATTACATCACAAAATTTTTTGGCACCTTCATAAGGTTAATATAAGATATTTTATTTTCATTTTTTTAAGATATGAAATATTTTTTAAAGATATGTAAAATAGGTAAACAGCTTGATATTGATTTCAGACAAAATTGTAATTATTATTTCTTATCCCTGTGTAGAGAGAAGGAGAAGTTACGGGAACGTGAAGAAGCATGGCAACACATAGAAGATCTGGCGGTACAAAATCCACTGTTCGACAAATTCTCATCAGAGAGTAATGACCTGTATAGTTCTTCTTTTATCACCTCTCCGCAGGATGATAATGATTCAGATTTCAGTTCTTATAGCATTGGAGGAGAATCCACAGAGGTAAGTAGTAACACAGGAGCAATGCCTGCACTAAGGTATTTTCAGTACTAGCCTTTTACCCTTTGAGCTCCTCTGCTCTTTATCAGAAGTTGCATCAATGTGGTTTTTAACATCCAATGACAAATGTAATGTATGTAGGGACACCTTAGATGGCAACATGCTTAGTCGATTGGCTGATGATGTTAATTTGGCTTCGTTGATTTATACATACCTTTGCCTTAATAAGTATTTTCAATAGCTTTTCTAGTATAGGTATTGAGAATCTTTGTTAGTAATCTAAACTAGATCTGAGTTTGCATTATTATATGATAACAATGTGTGAGTTTCTATATGGAAGTTCAACTATTTACTCATTCAAAAGATGTTTAACTTCTTGCCAAAGGGTGGTGATTCCTTTTAGGGTGACATGTACACCCATACTGTGTCTGTTGAACCTCCTCTAAAGTGTGTATACTAAATATTTGTTAGCTTGTTTTGCTATTATTACAGTGAATTTGGAGCTACAGCCCCTGAGAAGTAGGCTAAAGTTCACTGGACAATTGTATATGCTGCAGCCAAACTCGAAGAGGATGGGAGAATTATATGTTCCCCATGCTTGTGATTTTTCCTTTGAGTGGCTGTCTAAAAACTGCACTTAGCACATTGTCCAGTTAGCAAGTGAAGCTTACATTGACATTGGTTTAAAGAGCAGAAGTACTTTTCTTGTTAAAATCTTTGAGGAGCAGTCATAGATCATATGATGCAAATATAAATATAAATAACAGTTGACATATTCAGATTACAGCTGAACAAAAAAATAGCAGAAATCAGCTGGTCAGTGCCATCAGCCAAACATGTTGCCATCTATGGTGTTCTTGCATTTATCCAGATGTTGTTGGATGTACTATAATAGCTTCCTTTCTAATTTTGTTTCCTATATATAGGATCAATACATTTGTTACTATGAAACCAATGTTTTCATTATATTTTCTAACCTGTTATTCTGCATCTTGATTCTAGATTTTGTGAAATGATTAGTGTCCATTGTGAATTTTGGGTTTTTATTTAATATCTGTATGCTGGTCATTCAGACTTTGGATACCTTGTTTGTAAAAGCCTGTATTTTGCTTTTTGAACTATAAGTAATTTTTACAGTTTTCCAATTTACTACTGAATATATTCCTTTGTACCCATGGATGGGGCTTGTACCAATTTGTCTCTGTGCGTGTCTGTATGTGTGCAAAGTTAGCACAGACCCTGCACAGGGAGTTTAACACTGCTCTTCTGTTTTATTAAGATGTGGATCTAAGATTTTCATTTAGTTACACAATTAGCTTAGAAGTTAAATATTTACTGTATAGTTGATTCCATATATCAGTCATGCATGGTTTAATATCTTTTTGCATACGTTATATTTGTGGTTTCACAAATAACTATATCTAGAATTAACCAGTCTATCAAAATTAAAGTGAGGTTTGTTTTTCTAGAAAGCTGTCTTGTGTAGTATTATTTAAAGATTGTTATTTCTAAAAGCTATAGAGGAGCTGCATGTGTTGGCAGCAGTGTTTATTTAGTTTACGTAATGAGATATGGAACATAAAACTTCTTGCTGTTCCATCATATTACATGACTTGTTTTAAGTAAAGGTTTTTAGAAAACTCATTGTTTATTGTTTGTAATACTGTTATTTAATTCATTTAACTTTTTTTCATTTTGCTTGTTAGAAGATAAGATGAAAATCATTATTATTGTTATTATTTATTTATTTTTTACTTGTTTGTTTATTATTATTATCATTTATAATTTATTATTTGTTTATTATTGTTTTTTATTATTATCATCATCATCATAATCATCATCATCACAGTTATCATCATCATCATCATCATCATCATCATTATCATTATCATCATCATTACATGAAATTATTGCTATTGATATTATTACTAGTTTTATATGATGTTACTTTTACTATATGTATATTTATTGTTTGCAGCATCATTTTGCATATTATTCTATTATGAAATGTCTTTTATATATATTATTTATTAATTTGATTATTTATTCATTTTATATTTGTTATTGTTAGTATTTTGGTATGTTTTATTCTGACTATTATTTATATATTTCTATGTTACTCTATTACTGTTACAATATTAAGAATTTTATTATAATGTTGGTTATTTTTTATTTTATTTAGTGAGTGTTGCTGTTGTTTCTATGATCATTGTCACCATCATCATCATCATCATCATCATTATCATCACTATTATCATTTATCTGAATCAGTATCATTGCTACTATTATTTTTATTATTAACATTTGCTTATTTTTAAAATTATTTTTGTTTATAATACTAGTCTGTAACCATGTTAGTTGATTTGATTATTTCACTTAGTATCACCACCACCATAACTCATCATGGCAATCTGAACCATTGTCACCACCATCTCTAAAATGTAGCTTTTATTAATTTTTTCTGTTTGTTTTTGGATATATCTTCAGCAAAGATCTAACCACA